AGGGCTCCTTTGAAACAACAGCAGTGGGCTTAACCAAGGATGTCCGCCGTGAGCATTGGGCTCTTTAAACGCGCATGCTCTCTCTCTCTGGGGTCAAGTTGGCAGCAGCAACTTCGGGGCCGCATAGGAAGCCTTGCAGGCAGTGAGGTGACATTCACAGTGGAGGGAGCACTCGGACAAGGAAGGAGGGGAGGGTGGCTCACTGTGCATCCTCAACGTCACTAACTTGTCATAGAGAAATTGTCGAATCGGTATGTGCTTTTGCTGTGAATATTTTCAACCAAAACTTAGAAACACACACAGAGACCCGGAGGAGCTTGGACTGGCTCATCTCTAAGTCAGCGTTCACTAGAATTACCTGGAAGCTTTTAAAAACCCCAATGCCCAGGCCCCGCTCCAGTTAGTGCAAACAGTGAATGCAGTTGGCTGCTAACTGAAAGGCTGGAAGTTTAAGTCTACCCTGAGGCAACTTCGAAGAAAGGCCTGGTGAGCCTTCCTGTTCTATCCCACCTGGAGGGCAGCGCCGCTCCCAAGGAGCCTCCCAGGATCGGAGTAGAGTCAGGGTTCCACCCGCTCACCAGCAGAGAGCGTTTCTTTCCGACTTGTCAGAGCCAAGTTCTTCTTCAAGGGCACGGAGTCCCTTTCTCGCAGACTTCCCCGTGCAATGGTGGTTGATTTCCTGTGCCCACATGACAGAGTCGCACTGCCCCCATGGGTTTCCTGGGCTGTCACCTCTAGGGGAACAGATTGTCCCTCTCCTTTGGAGCAGCTGGTGGGTTTGAACCGCCAACCCTTTGGTTTGCAGCTGAGCACCGGACCATTGCCCCATCAGGGCTACTTTGTACCTTGTACTGATTTGTGTGAGGGGAAGTAAAAAAGTATTGCTGCAGAATCATAGAAACATGGATTCAATCAAATAGGCCAGAGACGGAGCTCCTGTTTCCCAGTCTGTCCTCCATCAAAGTCTGTCCACTTCTGAAGGCGGCGTGGCCATCTCTCTGACCCTTTCCCCGAGGACCCCTGGTGGTGGCGTGGGTATGCATTGGGCTGCGATCCGCGAGGTCAGTAGTTCAAAACCACCAGCTACTCCGAGGGAGAAAGATGGGGCTTTCTACTCCTATAAAGAGAGACAGCCTGGGAAACCCACGGGGTCAGTTCTACCCTGTCCCACTGGGTCCCTATGAGTCGGCATTGGCCTGGTGGCTGTGAGTCTGGTTGCTTGTTTCACTCTTCCCGTGGACGTCTCTGCGCCGTGATCCACATCGTGTGGCAGTGGCAATTTTGACCTCAAGGGGCTCGAATCATGTTCCTTTTCAGTGAGCTTTTCATTTGGGGAATGGAAGGAAAAATGCCCAAAAGGCTTAAGGTCAAAGCTGTGGGGTGGATGGGCCACAGCTTCCCAAAGACATTCTTGTAGGGCCTGCCACCCCTGTAGAGTCAGCAGGTGTGTGGTTGTGA